CAACGAATGTCTTCTCTCATTTATTTTAATAAAGTTAACAATTCCTCTTTTTTCTGTGTCCTTGTCCAGATTGCCTGCAACATAGTATTTATAAGGAGAAGTTATGTAAGCAGGAGAGGAGATCCACTCTGGACCAGGAGGAGTTAGAACCTCTGCAGGTGAAACAAGAACAGGAAGAACCAGAAGATCAGCAGATAAAAGAAGAGCAGGAGGATCTAGAACACCAGCAGATAAAAGTGGAAGAGAAAGAAGTTTACTGCAGTCAGGGTGAAGAACAGATTGAGTTAAAACAGGAGACTGATACCTGCATGGTGGTTCCTGTTGATGAGCAAACATCCCACACTGAATCAGAACCAAACAGGAACCAAGTCATCTTCCAGGAAGCTGCTGAAATTGAGAACCAAAATCAGGAAAGAAGAAAACCTTTCTCATGTGTGACCTGTGGAAAACGTTTCACTTACAAATCTGTTTTTGATGCTCACATGAGAACTCATACGGGTGAAAAGCCGTTTTCATGTGTGACCTGTGGAAAAAGTTTTAGTCAAAAACCGAATTTAACTGAACACATGATGATTCACACAGGTGAAAAGCCGTTTTCATGTGTGACCTGTGGAAAAAGTTTTAGTCGTAAACAAATTTTAACTGAACACATGATGATTCACACTGGTGAAAAGCCATTTTCATGTGTGACCTGTGGAAAAAGTTTTAGTCGAAAACACATTTTAACTGAACACGTGATGATTCACACTGGTGAAAAGCCATTTTCATGTGTGACCTGTGGAAAAAGTTTTAGTCAAAAAACGAATTTAACTCAGCACATGATGATTCACACTGGTGAAATGCCTTTTTCGTGTGTGAATTGTGGAAAAAGGTTTAGTCGAAAACAGAATTTAACTCAGCACATGATGATTCACACTGGTGAAAAGCCGTTTTCATGTGTGAACTGTGAAAAATGTTTTAGTCGAAAACAAANACCCGTACCAGCAACAATGTCCCACAGGACAGCCAGGTTCTCCAGTCAAGCAATTATGTGCATAAATCTAAATGTTCTTCTTTTAGACAAATAAAAAGAAAGCTATAAAAAAATTTAATGTTGATATAAAGTTACATTTGTTCATATCTGAGGGTTAAAGCATAATTTCTGTCATGACGGGAGTGTTAGTGCTGAATGTTACTGCTGAAAATTGCAGAGACATTTGAGTTCAGCTGCAGAACACTTGCTGAAAGGAAATGAGAAGAAGCAGAAAAAAGTGAAACAATCTGTAAATCTGGCTACATAGCAAAAACTCTCAGCTAAGCTGAATAATTTAAAATGAGTGCTAACATCACTGCAGAAAATTTAAAATATTGCATAGTAATGCTTGCAAAGGTAAAGTATAAGGTGGCCATATGTTGATGACCACCTTATGTTAATTTCAGTATTAAAGAGAGTAATGGCATTTAATCCATCTAGCGCAGTTGTAAGAGTGGATAAGCTAACATTAGCTAAATAAATATTAGTGAGGCAGTCGATAGTAAAAATACACAATTATTTTGTTTGTTGCCAACAACGCCACCTGGGACTTCCACCCAGGAATTGATTTAGGGCAGGTACGCTTTTGCAATAGACACTGTTTCAAAGTTAAAGTAATGTATTGAAATAAAAACGGTAAAATTCAATAATACCTCTCTGTGGAGAAGAAGGAGTTAGAAAAACTAAACTCGGTTGCCGAGGCTTGGCGGTAGGTGCTGACAGGTCCTGGATTGGAGGATCCCGAGCACAGAAATCGCCGCAAACACCCGTGACGTCACACACATTGGCTTTCCCTCTATCGATTTATGTTGATCACGGACAGCCACAATAAAAGGAGGGGTGGGGGGGGGCACCATCTGGGCCAAATGCACCACCTTCAATCCTCAGAGCTAAAAAAAGAAATAAATACAAACTATTATTAAAATACCGGTAGAAAATTAAAATAGATAAAACCGTTAAAGTCCTTTACACTCGACCACCAGCACCGCACAATTAAGTGTACAAGCCGGTGCTGATCGGCTCTCAATAAGCCACAAAGCAGCAGCGCTCATTGATATACGGATACAATTGGAAAGGTTCTTTTCTGGCGAAGTGAAGAAACTGTGAAACATGTTGCGGGATGTAGGAGATACGAGTCAGAGGACAATATTAACTTTGGATTTGTGGAAAACTGGAATACTGATATTGTATTTGTTTTATTTAGAAGAAAAGATTTTACGTTTTTCAAACAAAAGTGACTGTCTGAGAAATCTTTAGACGTGATGATCGTATGATCCACAAGGTGGCGGTAATGCATTGAAATGAATGCCGACGGTCATAAAATCTCGAAGAAGAAGACAGCACGCGGTCTGTTTTGTTGAACGTTTCAGTGTTTCTCTAAAAACATCTTCAGTCCAGTTTAAACGAGTTTCTCAACGAGCGGTTAATCCTGCTGAAGAAACTTTCACAGAGTTTAAAGGAATCATCGTCAAAGTCGGAGGAAGAGATGGATGATCAGCGCAGACTGCTGGATTTTCCCAGGATAATCTTACACCGGATAGGTAGGAAACACCAGCGTTTGGATGAAGGTTAATGTCTAAATGTGTGGAGCTTTCTGTATGAGGATAATTTAGTAAATGTTCTTTTCCCGTATAAATGTTTTGTTAACAGTTAAATGAACGCGCAGACATCAAATCACGCTGTTAGAATGGCTTATTTATGTACTTTTATTTACTTTTGAAAACAGCAGAAATATGAACAATGCAGCGCAACTTGTCATTGTTTTTACTTCCTGTTCTGCTCTGGTGAAAAACCACAGGCCCAACCCAGTGCATGCTGGTCCTACACCTGTCCCTATATTTATAGAAAATGGACCCACAGTTCTTCCTGTCTAACTTAGAGAAGTAAATAGAATAAATAATAAAATAAACTGATCATTTTGGGATTTCTGTAATAAACAACGAATGTCTTCTCTCATTTATTTTAATAAAGTTAACAATTCCTCTTTTTTCTGTGTCCTTGTCCAGATTGCCTGCAACATAGTATTTATAAGGAGAAGTTATGTAAGCAGGAGAGGAGATCCAC